ATCTTAGCGGATTTCGACTTCCATGACCACCGTCCTGCTGTCAAAATGAACCAACACCTTTTATGGTGTCTCATGAGCGAGTATTTAGGCACCTTAACCAAGCGTTAGGAGCATCCCTCATCGCCAGTTCTGCTTACCAAAAATGGCCCACTTGGAGTTCATATTAATCCCAGCAGTTCAATGAAGTAACCACTGGATCTTACCCATTTAAAGTTTGAGAATAGGTCGAGGACAACGCGTCCCCGAGGCCTCTAATCATTCGCTTTACCTGATAAAACTAATTGAACTCCAGCTATCCTGAGAGAAACTTCGGAAGAAACCAGCTACTAGACGGTTCGATTAGTCTTTCGCCCCTATACCCAAGTTTGACGAACGATTTGCACGTCAGTATCGCTACGAGCCTCCATCAGGCTTTCGCCTGACTTCACCCTACTCAGGCATAGTTCACACACTGTTACCTTTACAGCTACTTCACCTGCTCAATATATGCTGCATACATACATACGCCTGTATGCACGTGTGCAACCTTTATAAAGGAATACCATAGCTCCTGAATGTGTGTATTTAGCTGTTACTCACCAGCATCCGTCTCTACAATTGAACGCGAATGTGTGTATTTGGCTGTTACTCACCAGCACCCGTCTCTACAATTGAACGCGTTCCATCGTCTGTTTGCAAACATACCGCTGTGCACTCCTACGCACCCATTGCACTTTATTCTAACAGAATTATGTACGGGTGAACCACCAGCAAAGGCTTAATGTGTAAACCCCAACTCCAACAACTGCAGCTGCTGTTGCTGCAACAGCGGCTAACAAACAACTACACCAGACTACAACAAGACAGCTCCGTACAAAGATTTATCTCCTACCTGCCAATTGGGGCATTTCCCGTCAGCAACCTCTAACCCCCTCAGCTTCTAGAATGTCCTATATGCCACACCCAGCGCCAGCCATTCTGGGTGTATAGATTAGGTGTGCATGCACCACGAAGCAAAAATATACGGCTGGGGGGAAGAGACTGTTGTGTGCAGCTCCCCCACGCTTTGCCCGATAATGTTGTCTCAGCATGCAACGCATGCATGCAAACGCCCTATACATTGATCTTTGGGGCTTTGTTGACCTTGGCAGAGAAAGGAGGCAATGCCCACCTGCAGCATTAGCAGTTACCTGTGGGCTCTATCTACCCACGCCTCCTGTTAAACACTCAACGAAAACGAGACCACCAATCCTGTTTTATACTGCAAACATTAATCGGACCGTGGTTGGCTCACAACCCACAGCGTATATACACTGCAAAGTGCCTTTCCTCCTCTCCTGTGGTGCCTAAGCACCTTGGCATGCAGCAAAACAGAAAAAAAAAATGGCTCAGCTTGGGGTCCGATAAACACCGATAAGCACCCCCATGCATGCATTACAACTCTGTCATGCAAAGGACAGGGGAGAGGAGATACAGCAGCGGCAACTACAATATGTATAGACACACAAGTAGGCAGCTACACGATATTATATACACATAAACGCATGCATGGGAAAGCTCCTCCATCCTTGGGCGGTTCTCCCCCTTTGGGGTGTATCCGCTGCTCGAACATTTCTTCTTCTGCGGCCCTCGTCAACATATGAATGGTCTTCAGACCTGCGGTGTAGAGACAGCACCAGCTGTTTCCAATCGCCCCTCTCCTCTGAAAGGGAGCGCCGCGCGCACGCAGCAAAGCAGCAGCAGCACACCGGATGCGGTGTACTGCCGGATCCAACGGAAAAAGAAAGGAGACACTTCGTGCTGCGCCTCCAGAGCAGCTGATGCGGCAGCTGATGGTAAGGATAAGAAGCACATCAGCCTCTAATCCTGAGCCAGCTGGCCTGCTGCTGCTACTTCATAAAAATAATACAACCAGAAAAAGCGACATTGTGCTGCTAAGGGCATTTAATGCCCTTCAACGCCCCCATACTACCCGCCCTGCCCCGCTGCTATTACCAGCTAGGGTTGAGGGTTTGGGATTTATGGCTTAGGACTTTGGGCAACTGCGTCGTATCCAGGGAATGCGCAGCTGCCAAACCCTCCCAGCAAACAGCTCAGGGTTTAGGGTTTAGGGTTTTGGGTTGTGTTGCAGCAGTTGTTGAGTATTGCAGCACCACCGCCTCCCTTCCTTGTCTCGACACAAGGGGCCTCATGATGCAGCTGCTGCTGCACATGGTGTTTAAGCCTCTGCTGCACTGTCTCCAACTGCTGCCCAAGGCGCACTGCAGCAGCAGCGGAATGGGGAGCGCCTCCTCTATTGCTGCAGTAGCAGCAGGAGACTATTGAAGGACCCACTGTCCAATTCTTCTCTTAACCCTCCTTGTACTGAGATGGGTCTTTGTCATATCTTTGATGCATTTAGAAAATCAATAAAACGGGGCTGTCTCCAAACCCCAATTATGAATGTATGCGCCTGCACGCTTGACCTGTCTGGTCAGTTCCCCCTGCTGCAGCAGTGCATCGCTGCGGCAGCAGCAAAGTGTAGCCATGCTGCGCGTTCTTTCCTCTCTCTTATGTTGTCCTTCCCGCTTCTGAGCTGTCTGCTGCAATGCATTGTCTGCGCGCTCTCCCTTATAGGAGGTCTTCACGGTCCTTCCTGTCCCCCTTTGCTCTCTACGAGAGGAAACAGCTCTTATGCAGCAGCAGCAGGCCCTAAGCTGCAAGTCGGGCGCTGCCCCAGCGTGCGGGCAACTGTGTTGCTGAAGCACAGCCCTGTGCTTCCGTCTTCTTCGTAGCCGCTGCTGCAGCAGCAGCGGCTGCTGCAGGAGCAGCAGTGGCAGCAGGAGCAGCCCCAGAAGGAGATACCTCCTCCTCGAAGCCAGGAGGGACCTGGTGAGAGGCTGCCTGCTGCTGCTGTCCCTCGGACCTGTGAGGGTCCCCCTTGCATGCATCAGGTGTCTCGTTTTCCTGCATTAGCTTCAAAAGAGACACAAAGCACGCCACGAGCCTTGTGCTGTCATCGGGGTCTCCTTCCTTCTCACTGTTTCCTCCAGCCAGGCCCTGCAGCTCTGAGAGCGGAAGCAGCAGCTCCTCCTCGTCCTCCCCCCACCGCTTTTCAGCAGCTGTAGCAGTAGCAGCAGGCTCCTGCTGCCCACTGTCTCCTCCTTCCCTGCAACTCCCCTCGTCCCACTTGGAAGCAGCAACCGCAGCAGCAGCAGCTCCCCAGGGTCCCCCAACGCCTTCAGGGACGGGGGAGCCCTCCGATGCTGCTGCCAAGGGCCTCCCCGCAGTTTCTTCCTCTGGGGCGATACCCCCAAGCACCTGTGCAGCAGGAGACAGTTGCTGCTCTGTCTCTGCCTGCTGCCCACAGGATATGCTGCTGGCACCCAAAGCGAAGTCCAGGGAGAAGCACGTGGAAGCCAAACTCCCCCGTTCCTCCCCTACCCGACGCCCCTGCCTGCTGTTGCTGCTGTTTGTCCCGTTGTTGCTGCTGTTGCTCCCGCTGCTGCTGCTGCTGCTGACGCTGACCTCCCCATCGAGCAAAATGGCATTCAGGCCAGCTTCACCGGGGACCGCAGCCTGCGAGAACGGAGAGAAACACAAACAGAGAGCCTCAGAGGGTTTAGAAGCAGAAACAGCAGCACGAACAACAGCAGCAGCAATAGCAAAAGCAGCAGGATGAGGATGAACAGACAGGAAGACATGCACAGTGTTCTGGTGCTTACACTGTCCCAAGCACCCCTTTGCATTTCAAGCGAAGATCCCTGCGAGTTAACGGTGCTCAAGGACAGGCTAACTGCCGTTCCAGAGACGCTCCCCTGTGTGCTGCCTGTGGGGCTCCATGAGGTTTTGGGGCTCTCGTCCTCCAAGTCCTCAGCCAGCGGTTGCATGCAGCGGGGGCCCCACATATCGGTGGTGCCTCTCCCCCAGAGAGGCCCGCCAGAGGTCACACAGCAGTCTCCACTAAGCTGTGTGTCTCCTATCAGTTGTCTGTCTCCTACCAGTTGTGTGTCTCCTATCAGCTGTCTTGCCCTTCCTTCCTCCCCTTCCCTGAAAAGCTCCCCCTGGGGACCATCACGAAAGGGCACGAGACCCATGCCAACGCTGCTGGGCCCCTGCAAGGCCCCCAGCGACTCGAAGGGGGCCTCTTCTCTCGGGCAGACTGCAGCACCTGTTGTACTCAAAGGGCCCCAACATGGCTCTCCAGAGTTCGCTTGTATCTGCAACGGATCCAGCGGCTGCTGCTGCGGCTGTTGCTTGTTCTGTGTCAGGGCGCTCAGAGGCGATTGAGGACCGAAGGAGGTGGCAGGCTGCCTCAGAGGGACCTCTTCCAGTGTGCTGTCTGTACATACAAGGGTCCCCCGGGTCAGAAACCCTTCGCCATTCTCTCCTCCCTTTTTCAAGGGTGGTGGCAATTTGAAGGCCCCTTTGAGGGGGGGCCCAGTGTCTGGAGAGGCCCCCCGACAACCCTTCTGCGCGTCCACCAGCTGCAGCAAGCCACCATAAGGCAGTATTAGGCCTTCCGTAGGATTCGCGGAGGAGGATGCTGTGCTCGGTGCTGCTCCGGTACCCCACAGAGCCTCTAGAGAGGCAAGAGGAGGGTTTGGCCCCTGCTCCGCTGGGGCTGTGGCAGCCCGCTCGGCAAGGCGTCGGACGACGCGCTGTAGCAGCAACCCCATATCATCAGGAGGAGAAGCAGCGCTGCTTCCTGCTGCTGCAGCTGCAGCAACTGCTGCAGCTGCAGCCGCTGCTGTTGCTGTTGCTGTTGCTGCAGGGGTCGCAGCCACGCCTTCAAGCACTGCTGCCGTCGAAGGTAGAGGGAGGCGCTGACGCCTCCTGCGGCCGTTCTTGTTGGGGAGGAGTTCCACTAAACTCACGCCAGGGTAATTTACAGGCACTAAGGCACACACATACTCATACATCCACAAGCATGCCATGCAATGCTGCTTGTGCTGCCTTCTCTACCGCTACCTCCCTTCCACCTGCTGCCTCTGTCGTCTGCCTCCTCTGCTGGTCAGCCGATCTGTTGCAGTGACAGGCCCTCACATACCCTCGGCTGCTGCGCTCTTTCGCTCTCTCTGTTTGTCTGTGTCTGTGTCCAGTGTCCTCGCCTTTCATTATCTCTCTGCTGCCTGTCTTTCTGTGTGCCTCTATCTCAGTGTCAGTTAGTTAATTATTATTATTATTATATATATATATAT